TGTTAATCCTGCCTTTGGAACTGATCTATAGCAGTTCTTTACCAGACTAATACGGCGAACACATCATATCAGTCTGGCCGGCTAGGGTTGTTGCTTTCGGGGAAGCTAAATCTGGAAGTTGAAGATCTAGCGCCCCAAGTGAATGAAAGTAACACAGTGTTGCCTTCAGTAGAAACACCCCTCAGTAGAAATCAAAGGTAAAAGCATTATAAAATAAAACAAATTACGCAATCAAGGTTTTAAAAGCTTTTTCTACATAGAACATCTTAACACATTGAAAAACCATCAAGGGACATTACCTTCATTTTTCTGGAAAAGCTGACTTTTTTGCTTCTAAGGTCTCCAGAGGATATATACTTCACTTTTTTCATGTGGCCATAGTCACTTAGAAAGAAGTTTATTATAGTTATATTACATTATTATAGTCATGTAGTTTATTTGTATATTATGATGGTGTTGCTTGTCATCACCAAAGGAAGTGCAAAGTTAAAAGAAAGTAAAGTGATCATTGCAGCACAAACCTTTACAGCAAAATTAGGAAAAAACAGATGGGTTGTTGCTTTACATTATAATAAATCAAAATTGATAAATAAAAAAACAGGAAACTATCTCAAATACTTTTAATATTTCTGAAACTATAGCCAATAAAATAGAAAAGAAGAATCACATTTATACCATTGTCAGTAATTTCCTTCTGATTATTAAAAAAAATCTAATTATTGTTAATTTCAGGACTCTAGAAAACCAAAGACGGGAGACTTCATTTGTTAAGGTCTTCAATGATACTAAAGAAATCTACAAAAAATTACTTATATAAGAACTATAACAATGCACATTCATATCAATCAGCAGCTTTCTGATGCTCATGAGGTTTTTATTGTTGTTCCACCTTAAGACAGGGTAAGAATCTGTTTCCTGATTTTACAGGAAACTCCCAAAAGAAATACAGAACTTACAAAAAAGTCTTGAATTGTATTATCTTTGGCATAATGTTGGTTATGTAGTTGTAAAAAAAAGAGACATCAAAACCTCCACCAAGAAGCAGCCCTACATATATCCATTAATACTTGAGCAAAATGGGTTTGATATAATTCCTCAGGACACATTGTGAAATATTTAGGCAGTGAGCCGAAGCATCAGGCAGAGTGCGCCTTTAGCTCCCTAAATGTAAGAGAGAGGCTTTTCATCCATCTGCAAAGCAACACTGTCTGTGCCTTTTCTTCTTTGTTTGAGCAAGTTGTTGTTCAATGAGATTATTGTTTTTCACCAATTTGTCAGACAGCTGATTACAGATTAAATATTGATGGGATGTGTATGAGACAAATTTAATCAAAGCAATGATCGCATTGAGAGCTGTCAAATTTATCCCAGAAAGCAGGTTAAGTTACAGAAACAGGACCAAATTGAGGTGATAAAGTAGAGCTGCATAAAAGCAATATTTAATAATAAAATGCCACTTAACTAAGGACAGTTTTCTTCTGTAGAAAAGAAAAAAGGAAAATTCAAACAAGACTCAATTTTATGTCTTATCTGGTAATATAAATAGTTTATTTATAGAATAGGTTTAGGGTATTTCTGCAACATTTAAGGTGAACTGTTAGTTTCATAGTAGTACAGTTTTAACATTTACTAAAAATGAAAAACCTTAGCAGCCTTGTTTAGCTGGACGTGATCTACATTATATATGCCACAGTAGCAGATTATTACCAGTACCAGATCATTCTAACAATTAGAAATACAAAAGTACAATACAAATCAATTACAAAAAACATCAAAGGATGCTTATTATTTATTTGAAATACATAATTATCAGTTTTGTGCCTTTAGAATGAATAAAGTATACTGAAAATTAATAGTAATGAGAGAATCTATTTCAAATACATAAGTTTATTGTTGAATAAACTTATGAATTTTATAACTTGTGAATTGTATAAATGTCATCTTGATTGTTGTGCATTTTTAACAATAAACTTAATGTATTTGAATTTAATGCATTCAGTATTATACATTTTTAGTAAGTATGCTTTATTAATTCTAAATACATAAAACTCACAATAATGTATTTTAATAAAAATAAGCTATACTGAAGTACCGAATATGCAAAATATAAGGTTTGTTTTAAAAGATTTGTATTCGAATTATCTAAAAAAGTAAATGGGATTTTTTTTTTTTTTACATAAATAATAGAATGTTAGTGAAATATTTTGTGGTACTCCCAGCCATAGTTGGCAACATATGACCCAAAAGCTTTTTAATTTGACTGTCTGTACTGCCCCCAGTACAGCGATACCAGAAGCTAATGAGGTCTTTCAGAGCTGTATATTATAATAATTGCAATATATCATCTTTCTTACTATATCTCGATATATACATCTGTATACATCTGTATAAATCACATTGTCACACATTGTGACACATATTGTGTTACCAAATTGTTGCTAATTCACACCCCTAGTTGCAGGTGTTCTGTGTGACCAGAATGGACCCGTTCAATCTGAGAAGCAGCATTAATGACCCCTCTCATTAGGAGGGGTCATTAATGCTGCATGAGCTAATTCAGAATGAGCTAAATCCAAGTGGAGTCTTCCTTTACATTAGGCATTTTTATTCTGTTCGTCCCAGTGCCTGCTTTTAACTTTAAAAAAAAGGAAGAACACAAAAAAATCAGATAACAAGGAAGCTAGGATACATACCAACAATATTAAGATGGCATCAAATAAAGACAAATAAAGGTAAAAAAAAAAAAAAAAAAAAAAAAAAGAACAGAAATATTTACATGAATCATTGACTGCTGTGCTGGAGAGGAGAGGGTTAGATGAAATGAAAAATGATCATTCAACCTGCAGCTGATTAAAAAATAAAAAACCAAAAACTCTATTCAATTTAGTACAAATTTTGATTTTTGATTTTTTTTTGGGGGGGGGTTAAAAGATCAAAATCGGACCGTCAGATATGGTCAGATATAAAGTCAGATATGGATTGCATTTGGCAGCAGTGGGAACGTAGGTTATGACAATGCACATCAATTTGGTACCAACTGTTCCTGTGCTTTCACCGTTTAACAACAGCAACCTTGTTTCTCATATCAGAGGATACGTCTCATTCTGAAGTATGTGTGGGTGGGTGTGTCCAAAGAACACTGGGGTGCAAAATCAGATAAAGCGACAGCTGGTTTACAGTAGAGTGAAGAGTGAAGAAAGGGCACGATCAACCATCAAGATGTAACAACGTTTAGCTCTACACTGGTGAAGCCAGTTACTGTAGATGATCATGTTCAGGTTCTAAAGTTACACCTACTGCCATCCTAATCTCTCCTAAACTCTCTACGGACCTGATTTCTGTTATGGGTGTAGTGTGGTACAACGGTTTTTTCAATGAAGCTCAGAAAAAAGCATGAAACAAAAAGCAAGGCAATGTTTCACCATTTGCAGCTTTTCAGATAAAGCCCATAAAAACTGTGTTTCTACCTTAATACGACAAAGCTAACAGTGCATCACCTTAGTTTTCGAATCAGTGCTAAAATAAAACTGTAAAATTGGCAGAAATTAAATAGGTCCAATTAGTTGAAGTTCTAGAGGGACACTGGCCCCTGTTGGCCCCTATTGGGTCCTGTCCAGAACTGTCCATGCTTTAGAAAGAAATCAATGTGGAAGAAGAAATTTTATGACTGACAAAAAGCTAACTAACATTGTGCATGCAATATAAAAAAGTAAAACAAATGAAAACTGCAACTCCTAAATAAAGTGTGCAAGGGAAGATATTAAATTTTTGGTCCACTGTTTACAGCTGATCCTGCCACATCTGAAGCACTCATTGAGTGACATTAAGGACAGCAAATTGGTCACATCTGTGGAAAAAAGTTCTGATTTGGGCAATTTTTTTGCCTCCAGTGTAAATGTATCTTTAGACACAAGTTAGGGACTTTTACGATCTAGAAATCAGAGAAAGCTATTAGTTGCCAACAGGAATAACTTCTCTAATTGCTATTAAATCATAAGTGGATTCAGCAGCCTTTTAAAACTTCTATAGGTAATAAATTATGTTGCCTATCGTTCTATTTGGTCTCTTAACGGTTTGTCTGCAGATTTAGCAGCTATTCAGCATAAAGTTGATGTAGGTATGAAAAGATGGGAACCAATTTTCCAGGATCTGTCTGCTTCACCAGATTACACCCAAAAACATCTCCAACTGACAGGTGTATTATTATTATTATTATTATTATTATTATTATTATCCACATTTTTATTGTTAGGCAGCAGTTTTGTACCTTCTGGTCAATGGAACCTTAACAACAGGCCAATACCTCGACATTGCAAATAAGAAACATTTCCATCCTCATCCGCCCCTCACCATCATACACCAGCTAGAAAACAATCTCAGAGTTGGAGAGTTGTTTTAAAAAGACATGTCAGCCTCTTATTGATGGGGAGAAAAGACAGCAGAGGAGGATAAGGGGGAAGTGAAAATGTGGTGATGAGTGGGAGGATGTGTTGGCAGTTTGCCAAGTTTTTGCACATACAGTATGAGAGGAAATGGCCAAGTGAAGATTGAGGAGTGTGTCTCCAGGGTGCATGGTTATTTTAATAAAAAAAAATTGGGTTGACACTTGGGAGTGAATTTTGCAATGTACAAAAGTAATTTTTAGTTAGAGTGAAATCAGTGGGTTGCTCTTTTAATCTGTTTATCCCTGGTCCACAGGTTTGATAGAGTGTATTGAATAAGGCTTTCTGGGAAACATGCCAGAACAGGGCTCTGAAAAGCAAAGCAGGGCAATTTGTTGACATAACAAATACCCGATTTTATCTCCAGAAATCATGACACTTGTGTTGGCAAATGAATAACAGCTTAATTAGTGTTCAATTGCAACTCTTGTGGCTATTTCACTGTAGGCTATCTGCAAATACAATACAAATAAATCTACAGAGAGCATTAATTCTGTTTAGTAAATACACACTTCTTCCAGTTAAATTGTGTACACTGGATCTTCAGAGGTAACCTACCTAATAAAAGCAGCTTCACTTCTCTCGCTGCCTTCTCTCCATCTTCCCGGAGGTTTTTGTCAATCATCTTTGACCTCTCCGCCGCAGCCTTATCCTCTGCGCTCACAGTGCATCCCATGGATCCGGTGATAAGGGCGCACCGACCACTTGCGCAAAATAAAAAAAAAAGAAATGTATCTGCAGATTTTTAAGGTTATAGATGAAACAACCTACTCTATACCACTGTTAATCATATAATTTCAATCAGTGCTCTTTGGTCCATGCCGAGACGTTCTAAGCCCCCTCTGCCCTACATCCATCCATCCAGGGGCTCTGAGATTCCTGCGCCCGCTCGTCTCCTCAGCCTGCTTTGCTGCTGAACAGCGCGTCCCTCTGTGGTGCAGCCAATTAGTCTCGCGCGAAAATCCTCTGTTATCGTCACGCTAAAAGTTGTCAATCGACCGTGCTGACGTCACTTCTGCAACTTGTCGCGATAGTCCAATTAAAAGCAGGTGAGCTCTCAAAGCCCCGGACCGAGCGAAAGCAATTAGAGGGAAATGAGGCGGTGCGGAGATGTCGGGGGGAGTACCGCTTGCAGACTGCTGTGGGCGCTGTTGCTGTCTATTTCCTCTACATTTCTGCAGAATATAGGTAAAAAAAATGGAGCAATACAGGGTAGCTACACTATTGCACAAGCTGGTTTGTGACTTTAAAAATGGTAAATGTGCCCATAGGTGTTTATGAAATGCCGTGGCACGTAAATTGGCCAGCTGAAAAACTAGTTCACAGCGCCACCCAGTGGAATTAACCTGCATATGGCCCCTCAGTAACATTCAGTGTACCTACTCCTGCCCTTTAAAGATTTTTTAGAATGACAGAGAAAGCTATATTAATCAAACAAAAGCAGGCTAAGACCAAATGGCCATCATAAAGACTCTTGAAATAGGTCTATAATAAATTTAACTAATCATTTAATCTCAACAGTTAACAAAACAAAATATACTTATTCACAATTTGAGCACCAGAGGAAAAAAAAGTTACAAAATTACAATCACAATTCAAAATAAATGTCGTTTCAATGTATTTTACAAGACATACATTTAATGTGCAAAAATAATCCAATGATATTATCTCATTCTTTTCTTATCCTTATCTTATTTTATTCCTATTTTATACACTGTTTATATGGGAAAGGTGTAATATTGCTGTGTGGGTTGTAATTTTACAATTTTTACTTATTTTATCCTGTCTTATACTATATTTTATTTTGTTCTATTTTACTTACAAACTTACTTTTCTCTCATCTGTAAATGGTTGCACTGCAGGAAAAGCATTTCCCGCGAGGGATTAATAAAGTAATTCTGATTCTGATGCGAGAGAAAATAGTTATTACTGCAAATAGTAAAGATGTTGACTTTTGTTTTTTAATTCAGCTGACAATTATGTGGTTTTTCAGTTAATGCAATCTTAGGAACAAATTGCAAATCCTAGTTAATAACCTTTGGCTCGTGCTCCTTGTTTAAAATGGTTGGTTCTTTCCTCAAAAGAAACTATTCATGTCAATGAATGTGTCAGTGTCATCAAGATGAAAAGTCTGCATATCATTTGTGAACAAGTAAGTCGTATGGATTTGTCTTTTTTTATTATTTTGACATGACATATATTACTCTGATCTAAGGATCTTGGTGGCACTACCTGAAAGTGCTTAAGCTAGCACTTTATACACCATTTGAAAAGCAATTTGAAAACTAAAGTAAAGTTGCCCTCTGTATTTTTAGTGAGTGCACTAAATATCATACGGTAAATATGTATATTTTGACATTTTTATTGCATGTGCTCTTTGTTTGCTGATTTGTTCACAGCATTGCGCAAAACAAAAAAGACCTTACTTATCAGAAAGATTCTCTCTCTTACGTAACCGTAAACGGTATTGCAATACATATTGGGAATAAATATAACAGATAGTAATGCAAAGCATTTATGCACATCCAGATTTTCCTCTTTCTGGGGACATAGTTTCCTATGCATCATAGTTAATATCTTTTGCAATGCGGCAAGGAAAGTATCTCCTCAAGTGACAAATCCATAATCTGCAGGACTCCACTCTGATGTTATCACGTGCTGCATCCTTGGGCGCTAGCAGGGTCATTTGGGTATGTGGATAATGGTCATATACCTTCCACCACCAGGAACAGAATAACTACTCTACTGGATTTAGAAATCATCTTGTTATGTGCTGTAAAATACAGTTTGCTCATATCTGAGAGGTGAAATCGCACATTATCCCAAACAACATCCTTGTTCAGATGGTCTCTAGTTAGACCATTCTCAGGAATTATGTCCCTGTAAAAAGTCAGCAGAATTGGGTTGTATGGACGAAGACAGGGATATGGGTCAGGACATTGTTTTGTGAGAGGGTTGCAATGGTTGCTGTCTTTCCAATGTGATATGTTCTACATAATGTATCTTGGAAAACTTATTGTATAAGATGCCATGTTACTACAGTACAGATAACTGTCATTTACAAATAGCATATGACACTACACAAACTAAAATGTTTACAACACAAAACATTAGAATATGTATAGAACACATACATTCTGTACATGTGGTACATTCATCCTACTGACAATTGGCCTGTTCTTCCTCAGCTTTGTTCGCTTCCTCCCTGCACTCTTCCCCTTCTGCCATGAGGCTGAACATTTCTGTGTCACAGTTTGCTTGAAACGGTACACACTGCTCCTTTTATAAATAGTTTTTAAAAATACTGTTTGTTTATTTGGGGATAAAAATACCTCAACCTGCTCAAGAGTGATTGTTGTACATATTAGATAAAAACTTGAAGAATATGAAAAAATGAACAAACAGTGGTTACCAAAATCTATCTGAACTGGTTGAAAGACAATGAAGACAACAGAGGCAGTATAACATCTACAATTATTTTATTTCCAAACTAAAACTGTCCCAACTATTTACACTTTACAAGCTACTGTAAATAAGCATCACAAATATAAAATGTTTACATTTATATACAATATTTATATAAATTTCTGCTTTAGTTTTTGTTGTTTAAGATACTGAAGCGTAATATCTCACACACACATTTTTAAAGACAACTCAATTGTTTGTACTATAATATTGACTATTGTTAAAACTGCTAAGCCAGTTTAAATACATTTTCAAATCAGTAGGTAGTCAGTTGTCATTTTTGGCATCACTCTGTGGTGATCACAAAAACATTAAATAAAGCAAGGCAACGCAAACGGGGGATTATATCACATCTAAAGGAAAAGAAAAAAAAGGTAAGGTACCAAAGACAAAGAAGAGGAAAACATATTACAGAATTTCCTGTTAACATAAACACCACTATATGAGTGGCATTTAAACAGGAAACATAGAAAACATTAAGAAAAGTCAAAAATAAACACACAGTCGTATTTGTTCAATTAGACAATGTTCTATGATAGGGCTTGTCATATTAATGAACATTTTTAAATAACTTTTGAGCAGGCATTAAACATAGTTTACTTTTTATTCAACGTTGAAAGTTATGTTTTTATTAACTGTAGGTGTTGACTGTCTAAACAGTTTGCTTGGATGGATGGATGGATGGATGGATGGATGGATGGATGGATGGATGGATGGATGGATGGATGGATGGATGGATGGATGGATGGATGGATGGATGGATGGATGGATGGATGGATGGATGGATGGATGGATGGCTTCTCATTAGGTTAAGGGGTATCAAATCAACAAATAATTAACCAAAAACTAAACTACATTGAAGTCATGTGGTGCATTATCTGAGCAAATTTAGGTTAGTTGCAATTCCTCTTTTATTTTATTTTTTTTAACTACTTCATTATCTGGTAATCTATATGTATTTCAAATCAGCTTTATTATACTTGATTTTTTTGAGTTCAAAGATTTAATATACAAGTCAGTCAAAATAAGATTAAAATAAAAAAAATAACAATTGGCAGTAACGGGGAAAATATTTTGAGGACACAGAATTTCTATTTTCTGACTTAAATCTGTGGTAAAACTCTGCCCTGTTATGCAAATAACATTGTTTTGGTTGTAAATGTATAAAGATTGTTTCATTAATTGTAAAACCTAAAGTTTATTATTGTAATGCTTTGTGGGTTCAGAATGTCTCTGAATAACAATTTGTGAAAAACATAAAATATAAAATATATATATTTTTCATTGTCATCATCATACTACAGCACAGACTGAACCTTAAAAGCTTTTCAGTAAAACTTAATTAACATACATTACTGCAAAGAATGAAAAGGTTACTTTGCAGTTCACCATATAGGGTAATAACATCATGCAAGGCAGGAAATGCAGATCTAAGTGTTTAAAAAGACTTTTTAAAGCGTTACTATCCAGTACCATAAAAACTCTGCAGCAGCAGCACAAAGGCACACTTCATCAAATTAGCTGCTGAAGGCCAGACACTATTTCAAATCAGGACATCTACCTTGTTGTTCATAAACATGCAGACAGCTTCTGTTAAGTTACTTAATATATATGTATGTATATATACAATGCTATAAAATATGAGTTTAGACAACAATAATACAGAAAGTTGGAGGAGTTCATAATATAAGAGCCACTTAAACTTTTCTGGTAAAATGACTTTAAAATTTTAACCTTATGAGTCTTGGTCTATTCTAGTATTCAGATAGCAGTGACATCAGTGACACCGGTACGGTAGTCTGAAAATCATGGTAACCTGCATATTTACTGTGACCTTAAAGCTGTAAAACATGTTTTTAAATAAAAAAAAAAAAGTCAATTCAGTTTGTATAACCAATGCAGAATGATTGATAAATATTTAAATGAATCAATTTGTGTATATTTATTGGATAAGGAAGATTGTTTGATTTTAAAACATCAATAGTAATGGCCTGTTAAAAGAATGTAATTCATGATACAATTGTTAATTCATTTAATCTTGATAAAATCTTTAACAATGAATTAATAATTAATGACTACCTGTTTCCTGGACGATAAATTTCACACAGTGGTCAATTTCGCCCAGTCGCTCTTTATAATAGGAAAAACAGAAATACATGCTATTCGGGTACAACAGAGAAATGTTAGTCTTTGTAAATTTGAGATTTTGGCTTTTAACCGCTTTTACCAGGCATGCCTATAAATAACAAATGAAATGATAGATAATGTACACTAGTCAGCTAAAGGGTCAGCAGCATACTCTACAGTAAGCAAATGTTCAATATCGCAGTATGTTTGGGCTAAAAGATTTAATGGGAGGAAATATTAGTATTATCAAATATTGCTAGTTTGTACCACCATAAAATAAAAAAAAAATCAAGTATAATGCATGTGAACATACACAGCAGTTAAATATAGATCATTTTAAATCAGATAACAACACCTCTATTTACTAAATAAATAAACATTTTCGAATGTTTTTATGCCATTCTAAACTATAAAAGGCACTGCTATTTTGCCGATGAAGAGTAAACGTTTTCAAAAAGCAAAACGATCATTTCTATAGTCATAAAGCAATTTATTTATTAGAATGGCACACAAACATTCAAACATGATGATGATGATGAGCAGATAAGATTGATTCTGGTTTTACACAAGATCACCTGACTGCTCCTGCTTGTGCGTATCATTGAGGAGAATTAAAATATTTTGTTATTATTTATATGCACAGAACCAGCTTCATTAAAGCCATAGCAGCAGAGGAGGGCAATTTCACCATCTCATGTGGAGTTTGTTGTTTCATTTTAATAAAATGTATATGAAATACTCTGTGATATAAAAAAAAATTAAATTATAAAATGCAGCACAGGGAAGATTTTTGTTCAGCTGTTTGTTGAGATATAATAAAGCTATTGATTCATTTAGTGTTACCGGTATATATATTATAGTGTGTATTTTGTAATGTAGCAAACCCAGACTCCATGCTGGACTTTCTGGTACTGTGTTCTACTTCCTTTCAATAAAACATATCGAACAAATATCTTCCAAACTCTGTGCATGGAAGCAGGCAGCACAGCTGTTAGTGACCTCCCGCAGACAGGCTGTTCCCTGATGTCCAGTCGATGATAATGAAGCTCAGACTCATCACCATGAAGGAGAGGCCCAGAGCGGCAAAACAAGCAGCCTTTAAAAAGATTCAAAAGAGAAAGACTTTACCCAAAGCATTTTGTTTTGAATTGTCATTTCAGCTGAAAAGCCTCTAAAACTAGAATCTGACCATGAAAGATCTATGAAAATTCTTCATAGCTAACCAGTATTTTCGAGGTGGAGTTCATGGGTTCGTCCTCCTTGGGAACGATGCGGATGTAGAAGATAGCGGGGAAAATGAAAATAAGGCATGGAGCCGATGTGGCACCTGAAGCATAAAAAAAGACAGAAAGGTGGTCTTAGGGACTCAGGCTGCTGTTTGAAAGGCTTGGTTTAAAGTCCTCTCAGGTTCCTCTGTTGCAGACCCAGCCGCAATGCAGAAACCACTTTTAACATCAGCTACAAACCTTCCATATTTGGTGTTATACTGTAGCTGTATGAAAGCTGTGATGTTTTTAATGCGTATCTTTAGATGCCCACTGCTGTAAAAGCAATTCCCCCTTTGGGATAATAATCCAACTTAAATTACCCACGTTTTCTGACATGCAGGATATCATCAATCCATTCAAGTCAGTTGGTATAAATATCCAAATGTATGTAGCAGGTCAGCATAAGAGTTGTTCATAAGCCACATATTCTTCTTGTTTTATTGGGCTTTAGCAGTAAGGTGTACAATTCTTAGGAGCAGGGTTGTTTTGAAGATGTTCTTTGTGGTCCCTCATGTTTTTGCCCCCAACACACTAACAGTGGCCTCGGCTTAGAGGACACACACTGACAATAATATTGATTCTAGCTGTCACTTTTTTCCTAGAATAAACATGTGTAGGTCACATGTTTTAACTTTCAATTTGTTTTTCTTGTGTGAGCAGGAATCAATACCTAACATAACAGTTCAAATTAAAAGGTTTCGGTAATAGCCATCATTTCTGTTTTCTATGTGAAATATAATAATCTGTCTTGTTCAGAGGTAATGTTGTTTTTGTTATTTGTCAACCACGTTAATTCACACACAATAAAAATAAAAAATAGATAAAGCCATTGATTGTCAAATATTGTGCAGGTAGAGAAGCTTTAACTTCACAATGTCAGTTTTTATGTACTAACCAATGATGCCGAATATTCCCAAAATGTTAGGAGCAAATATCACCAGCATGTTGATTAAGGTGAGAAGAAGGAAAGCAATGCTGGTGTGACGTAACCAGTTGAAGGACCTGCTGGGGAAAATCATCTCTTGGATGGCCCTGCGTACCTGCAGACAGAGCACAAATATAAATTGGGATATTTTGTGTGGGGGGTTTGAAGTGAAAGAACAAACAAATGGCCTAACTTACAGGGAACAACACAACTGGAACTGTCAGTGTCACAGCGGTCAGGACAGCTACTCGAACACACAAGATCAGAACATCAAAGGGATCGATGCGGTTGTAAGTATGCAGTAGCTCTGGCTCCACTTTACCTGTAGGGACATTAAAATAAAACTCATTCATAAAAAATAAAATAAAAAACACCCGAAAAATGGAAAACAATGCCTTGGTGACAATGGATTGGGTAGCAATTTAGATCTAAGAGCCACCACTAGAGGGAGCCGCAAATCTGTGTAGAAAATAAGGAGCTCCATCATGCAGCAATGATATTTTATACAAGTCAAAAATGAATCCACGTAAACATAATTCTATTTCAGTAAATTATAAAAAGTTGATGCACTTTGGCAACTCGATTCATAAAAATTAAAAATAGTCCTTAGCAACCGTGATACATTTCAACTACTTGTTTCTTTTCATAACTTGACCTTAACATAATGATTGAATTTAAAATATTTTTCTTAGATTTTTTTAATTTAAGTTTTTGAAAAACACCAAGACTGATTGCCTTGTTAACTGCACTGTCTGTGTTAGATCAAGTTGATCATGCACAAGAACTGCAAAATGTGCAGCAATGAGCTTAAAGGTCATCATTTAGAGACTATACACCAGGTAGAAAAATCATAGACCTTAAAGAAAATCATACAGCTTAGAATTCAGACCACAGTACATTTTGAAAACCCCCAGTTTGTGTTCAGAACAGTTTACATTTACAGTATTAATTAAGATTTTCTAAAAAGTCTCAAGTAATCAAAGTACTTTAAAGGTAAACAAACAGCTTGAGCACTTGGAAAAATTTTTGAATTCCTTTAAAAAAGAGGAACCCAAACTCCAAAACAAACACAAAGACAAATTCAACAGGAAAAAAACAAACAAACAAAAAAAACAATAACAGATCTAAAACCAACAGAACAAACACAAGGGAAAAAGGCTGAAATCACTGAAAATAGGCATTAGCTAAATAATAAAGGGTGAAAATACCAAAAAAACAGCAGCAATGTTCATGCTCTAGACCAGTGATTCCCAACCGGGGTAATCATATTCCTAGTGGTCCACGAGTGCATTGCAAGGGGTACATGAAAATAGTTTATTTCTTAGGTAGTAACATAAAATAGGGCTGGGATCTGTTTTGCCTTGTGAGGATCCATCTGAAAAATAACCAACTAAAAAGTTCACAAAGTTCTTTGAGCTCACATTCAGCTTTGACACACATTCAAACCAAGCAGAGGAACAGACTGGATGTAGAGAACAGACTGGTATCTGCTGTTTTTCCACCCTGAGCTATTGGAGCTCATCAAAGCAAGCTCATGTGTCATGAATGTTGAAATCAAAGTTACAGAATGGAGTCAGTATGACTATACTCCTGGTAAAAAAACAAAAACAAAAAACAAAGGGGTTCACAAATCAAAAAAGGTTGGGAACCACTGCTCAAGATGACAGGGGGAATCATCCACCAAATCAGATGGGACCAAAGTATATTTATGTATCATATGAACTTGCAGCGTGGATAGGAAAAGAACTCCGTACTGCTTAGGCCAATTCAGACAGCCTTTAGCATTCTTAACGCCTTTACATGATCACTACAAACACAGATGATGCTTGTCAAATTCGGACCACACCCTTCTGAAAAGCATGCATCACACAAAGTACAAATGAAGAAATTATGTATTTTTGTTGAACTTTTTGAGGTGGACTAGGCTTATTCATTCTCATATGGAAAGGACTGTGAATACTTGTACAGCTCCTAAGCACTAGATAGAAATATCTATAGGTCCCTGTGCTAAATGTATTATCTATAGGAAGCCTCCAGCTTCCTTTTCCTACCTGCTCTCTTATTGCTGGCACTATTCGGCCAAGCTCCTACTTCTTTATTTTTCATGCGGTCAACAGTGGAAAATCTATCAGGTGTCAGAAAGCAGTTCTGCTGTTTCAAATCCAGACAGCCTTTAGTCTTTCCAGAAGCCAACATGCAATGGAAATGCACATAGGTGACGTTTGTTTTTTTTTGTTTGTTTTTTTTTGTGGAGGAGTTTGCAGCTTTTTTAAAGTCACTGTTTTTGGTATATTTGAATTTTCTGTGATTGCAACATTTGTCTTTTGCAGGGATTTTCTGTTGCATTTAAAGTTTAGTTTCTGTTTTGGGGGAATTTAAATTATTCAAGTCCATTGCATTTGCTGTTTGTCACAGGTCACATAGAAGAGCTGCTTTATGAAGCTGAGAGAAAGGCAGGAAAATAAAAAAGATGAAGCTGAAGAAGAGCACATAAACGCAATGAACAGATTGAACTTTTTTGACAATTTGTTATTTCTCTCCTTTTGCAGCTCATTGCCTGATATTTTACTTGGTATTGTTCATCTACTTCAAAACACATCTTTGCACCCAACTTTACATGATCTGATCTGATTTCATTAACATACATTGTCTACAACTTGGTTTGTCAAAAGGAAATCCCTACATCAAAATAGCACACATATTCATAAACACAAGGAAGATGGTAAATAAATATAAGACTGGACTTGCTGCTGTAATAAAGACAAAAATTATTGCTATTTGGCAATATTACTTACACAATGAGAAGTGTGTTTGCTTTGATTTTACCATTATAGTTTTTAATTCTCATAACCAAAATGTGTTTCTTGTCTCACTGTCTAACTCATAACATTCATGACAGCTAAAGCTGGTCTATCTTGGTAGAACCATTGGAGGATCAGTCATGGTGAGTCTCTAGTGAAGTTCTTGGCCCCATTTACCTGCTATGTACTTCATATGAATTGATTTTTATCTCTATTTGTCAAATTAGACCAAGTGTTTTTCAAATAAAGTTCTTAAGGCAACTGATTAAACATTTTATGATTTAAAATGTTCAAACTGGCCAATATGATTACTTTGCTACCAGCTGGTTTCTTAGAAAAATACATATCTATTATCTAATTTATAGGTTACCACAGCTTAAAAGCTTTGTGTATACAGTCCATTCTGTCGATAAATACTGCTCTAGATTGGATCAAATGCACTAGAAAAACTTTATTTACTATTGGCCACTTTTTTTTGTTTTTCCGAGAGCTGCTCTCACCATAAAAAGTCAGGTAGCCAAAAAGAGCAGCCAGAAAGTACATGGTGTACATGACAAGGATGGAGACGTTGGAAACCTTTTGCATCTTCTTCTTTGTTGGACTGAAATCAGAGATTGGAAAGTAAATGCAAATGCCACATTCTACACAGAGATTGTGTTAAATACCGCAGGTTAAGTGGGATGACTCACTTGCGTAGCTCAGTGTAGATGGGTAGCACCTCAGGGTGGCAAACAAAGGCAAAAGCCAAAATTGGGATTGTATACGCCGTCTATGAAACAGTGCATAGACTCATGTTCAGTACCTCTACATAAATGTTTAAAAGCAAAGAAATTAGCCAATATTTCTTTAGCTTAGATGCCCACCTGTGAATTGATGGTGAACATGCGTGGGGTGCAGTGTGAGTCATTGTCTTCTTGAAGCAAACTCTCACTGCTGCCATGGATGTGGCTGGAATCATTCAAGCCAAGGTGTGCAACAGTGCTATTGACTGAGAAATCTTCAAAAGGGCAAGGGATCTGAAACTTCTTATAGGTTACCTACAACAAGAGTGAGAAAAGCAGGGATGTTATCAGGAAAATATGTCCAAGGATAGCTGCTTTAATGTAAGAGCTGGGTGCACTTACTGAAGACAGAAAGAACACCATGCAGCTGAGAGAAAAGCCACTGGCGTAGCCAAGGTAACCTGAAAAAAAAAGTAGTTAGCGGTAAAACACATAAACTGATTTATATTCCTGATTCATGTGAAAAAAAAACCCTACTTGTTACCAAAAATCTCTGTCAGAGCTGCCAAAGTACTTTAAGAGAGGCTAACCAACATGTTTTTGATGTTTCATAATGAATAGATTATGCTGGACATGAGGGTGTGATTATCTCTAGGTAACCTGCTGCTCTCACAGCTGGCAGCCGGATAAAAACACGCTAATTGCTTGATGTCAACGTAACAGCTTCATTAGAGTGTAACTATATCAACTGGTTTAACGTAAAATGACAATTCTGATTAATCCGTTCCTGTCAAATGTTGGCACTGAAATAAACAAGTGAAAATCTCAAGATGTTCCAGCTTTTTAATATAAGGTAAATATTCCCTGCAGATCAGATATGGTGTTACATACTTAATTACTAAAAAAAAATAAATAAATTTAAGTAGTTAAAAAAATACAATTTTTAGTACTACAGTGAGAATTACAAATACATTATCTACTGTGATTTAAGAACTATAGAGAGAGAGTTTAAGAGGTGCAGACAGAATATGCTGTGAACCAAACATGTCAACGAGCTAATTAGTTATTTTGAGACTCTCAGAGGACAGCTTTTAAAACGCGTTCGAAAATATATTTATATAAATCTATATTATAAACCACGATAAATGCCGTTTTAAAAACTGTTCTCTAACATTATAAGAATTACTGCAAATATTTAAATTTGCCATCAGAAATCTTTATGACTCCAATCAAAGTTAAAAATTCACATGTTCCTGCATTTATCCTAATACACAAAGAAATCAGCAAATATTTCGTCAATTAATTCATCTGTGAATTAAGATTATTAGCCCAGGATGGTAATCCCAATAATTTGAGTTAAATAAAGCCAAATGTGTAGATGTGTTTAACCATTCTGTTTTCTTGTATGGCACAGTGCAAACATTTATCCATCAGGCTCTGTGATGGATATATGTTTGTCCTTCTTGAAAGTATTTAACATGTCTTCTCACACATGTAGAAGTGAACCAGTTACAAAGCTTTGGGTGGTTTCAATAAATTGTACCGGTTTACACTGGTTACAGGTTCAAAGGGGGTGTGTTACTGAATGTAGTTTAAGATACCAGGGTCAATTTTCTGTCCTAGTCTGCCAAGCTTATCTGTGAATAGATGAACTACTTCTGGCCTGGGCTGATCCTCGCTGGGACAAATGTTACGATAAAAGATGAGCACCAAAGTGCAAAATAAAGCAAGCTTCTATTAACAAACTGCTCAGCAAAAGAGGCGCTGCCTTAAGTGTCAAGGGTCCATAAAAAAAGGGCTTTCAGAATTGACAGGGGCACTTAAGTTGGAATTTTACTAGCTAGTTATAAGATGTTTGTCTAATCTATTATCATTATGTGAGTGTCTGAAATAAATGTATGAATGACTGAATGTAGAATAAAGCACTTTGGAGGGCCCTGACTTGAAAAAGCCCTATATAAGAACAGACCACATACCATATTATAGGGATTTGGTAATTTAGTTTCAGCTTTAGGTGTTTTTTTTTGTTTATATCAAAGATGCGCACAAAAGAAAATAAAGGTGCCAGTGACATGTAAACTGTGAAAGCGTCCAGAAGCTGTAAACTAAGAAATATGAAGAGGGATAGAAAATCAGCTGGTTAAATGTGGATTTCTTCTGTTCAACTTCTAACTTCAGATAATTCTAATGTTGGTGTTTTATAAATTCCAAAAAAAAAGTAAAAAAAAAAAAAAGGAAGCTCGACAGAAGAATTAAAGCAAGAGAACAAAAGTAAACTGAAAGAAAAAGGCTAATCAGAGCATTAGAAACTAGGAAGAAGGGAAAAAAAGAGTACAGGAAACAGGCAGAAAAGAGCTTTATCACTATTACTATCAATTTTATCTTTCTACTCTCAGGTAATGCTAACACCAATGAAGAGAGACACATTCCTGCTGGTATCCTTATTTGTTTATCTTTTTAATCTGAGTAAATATGTCTAAAAACTAAATGAAAAATCATAACTATCCCTGTTTCTGTATCACATGTTATAGTAGTGTATTATCACTTATCTTCAAGCTTGAAATGTCCCCATTTAGTCTCAAAACTCTGGTCACCTTAGCTTAAACTCTTCTAATTCTAAAACTAAACCCACCATTAATTCTGCCGCGTTACTAAACTGGTTATTCTGTTCAAGTCCAGTTTGCTGTAGCAGGCTGCCAGGGCACATAAACATAACTTCTTTATCAAAGGTCCCTAAAGGCACATGTGGGATTTTTAAGGGATTTTGCAGCTCTTTTATGTTTCTTGTTGCAAATATATGCAGATATAAGATCAATGTTTTGTCTGTCTGTTCATTTGCTATCTACTGGTTTTAAAGAGGTTTTTTGCTGACATTTCAGTAGTCCATCCCTCCATTCAGAGAGATGACTAGTCAACACATTACGAATCAATGGGCTATAATTATTAATTTTATGAATGTTTTTAATTTCTGATTCAGCAAAACATTTTGTTAACTATAGTTTATTTTGTTAATAGATTAAATTCCCTTTGGCTTAATTGTTAAAATGGATGTTTGAACATACATTAAAGTTCTTCTCAGTTAATTATTTAGATTGAAATTCTTAACAGGTGCTATTATTGCCCTTTGAAACAACACTTCAATTGCCGAACCAAAACAATTTGAAGTATCAAGAATAATACCAGAAACAAACATAGCAGTGACTCTCTGCTTAGAAGGCACTTATAATATGCAGATATATTAAAAAATTCAAGAACAAAGCACCCTTAGAAGCAAAATATGTCCATGAAAATGTAATAAGTCCCGGTTTGTGTGTATATGTGGCGGTGAGATGCGTGAAAGATGTGCAGAAATGAACAGGAAAGTTCTAGCAAAGCAGCCTACGAGCTGAGTTAAACCAGTTCAATCAAAAGGGAAATTTTGCAAACTTGACTTAACCTACAACAAAGTTTTAAAGGGACCTCTACAAGGAAACCAAGAAAGTGTCTCAGCTGCAGAGTAATGATGATCCAAAAAATATTTCTAAGCTTTTTCATTATCTATCTTCAGTCTCTTTTTATGTGTTTTATATGGTATATAAAAATAGGTTGTTTAATCTATATAAGCTTACAGTAAACTAATGTCAAATTTTACTTTATGCATATTTCTTTAACAAAAAAAACTACTTCCATTAACTAAAATTACTCACCGAGCTGTTTCATCAGAGCTAAGGGCAGGATGATGCTGGCAGAGACCATGATGACCAGGTAGTTTCCATTCAAGTACCACAGACTGTTTAGAGAGAAGTCAAGTTTACTTTGGTGAAAAATTCCACTGAGAGACAAAGGGACAGAAAGACTCATATGAATGTGCAGGATAACAAACCGCTAGTAAAATAGATTAGTTATCGGTAACTATGAAGCATTTGCTTACTGGGAAAACTTTAAAAATATTCTCAGCTCAAAGGCTGTGGAAAAAATGTGCGTGCTTCTGTTGCTATCATCAAAAGTACTGGAATAGAGCATTACATAACTGAGCCAATGAAAAGCTAAAAATATTCAGAAAATATGTTAGCGTTGACATCTGTCTCGAATCTTAATCACTCATCCAAAGCCATAAAAAAACCAAGTGAAGAAAGCCTTATATAATGATCAACTACTTGAACTATTGGCTCTTCATTTATCAATAGTCAATCATTTATCTTAGGCATCACTTCAATATCTGCTATATTTACTGAAAATTTTTGAAACCCATTAATATAATTATATTAGAAAAAGAACATAGTATAAATGGACAGAATGATAGTTTACATAAAAAAAACTTTGGCAAATGTTAAAAACAACAATTAATTGCAATACAGTGGTGCAATGAAAAACATGTGAGTCACACCTACGTGTTTCAGAACATTAAACATCAGTCAAAATAAGTAAACACAAAATTATGTTATGAAATTACCTTTTTATTATGAAGAGAGAAAAAAATGGCTTTTTCACACATGGTCACGTCGGTTTGTTCAGTCAATAAACAAAACAAACATATAACTTTATCTGCACCCATAGGTACACTTGTTTACAGTGAGATAAGTATACTTTCTTTCCATACAAAGAACAAGCTACAAGTGTATATAAAATAGACACAAGCGTAAATAAAAGGATGAGGTGCTCAATACTTTAGATTAAACTAATACAAATAAAATACTTTTTTTTAAATACTCCCACCTTTAAAACTAGATCAAGATTACATGAGGGCAACATAGGCAGAAGAGATACAAAAATTAGGAAAAAAATAAATAAAAAATGCTGAGACTATGCTAAGAGGCTTCAGCTTACTATGCAATGGATAAGACATGTCTTTCAAAATGGATCCAGACTTTCTTTGTACCTCCCTGAAGTAAAAGGATTCTCTAAGGATTCCTGTCTGTTCTTGCCGGAGAGGCTGTCTTGTGTAGTCCCATGACATCAGTCTCTGCTCCCTCTGCTGCACTGGCAATCAAGTTCCAAGTTCCTATTACCGGGAATTGCTGCATCTGGGAAGGGCTTTATATATTTCAGTCTTTCCCAGTAGGTAACCACTGGATTCTTTCCCAGTAGGTAACCACTGGATTCTTGAAAGCTATTTTAGTGAGTAGTACATCCAGCATTCCTAGTTTTGACCTCCTGATCTCAATCTGTCTCCTTCCTGTTTTCTCCTGCCTGCCTTGCCCCTGTTGTATTCTCCCGTTGGCTCCTGATCTCTTGCCCTGCCTCTCAACCAAATTTATTTCTACCTCTGTCCCTCTGGAAACCTATACCAGGTTAGTGTGCCTCTGCACCTGGATTACCCTCTCATCTGGCCCTTCAGCAAACCTCTGCAATGTGGACTGTTTCTCTATGCATGAGCACCCTTTGCCCTGCTTGGCAGCCTTAATGATTTGGATCAGTCAATCAATTATCCAAATCATCCAAACTGTTGTACCTCTGAAGAACAGAGCCGCTGGGATCAATCTTTGGTATCCAAAAAGATGGCTTTCATTCATTGCACCTTCAACATCGCTGAGTTGTTTTCTGGTACTAGCCCTGCTCTCTTTTTTAATAAACTCTTATGAGGCTTATTCCTTGTGTCAGCTGAATTATTGGTTTCCAGATTCTGTCGAGACATAACAGATTCTGGACTGAAGTTGCATCTTAGTAGCTTATTTAACTGCTTCACAAATTGGTTCGGGCAATTCTTGTTTTAGAGAGAAATGTATGTTAGACTTAGACTTAGACAGATTTTATTTTGTCAATTTGTATATACAGGTGTAAACAAAAAGAAATTTCGGTAAGAACACTTCTCTAAACTATTTCATTTTTTTAAAGTGCAGCCTTGATAAGGTAACCAGCAGTGATAAAAACATTGTAAAGAAAAACAGTAATGTAAACATATGACTGTATAGTTAGATGTAACATTCAGTTTTAAGTTTGAGTTTTTTTATTACCCATTTTACAGAGCATTTAGTCTAATGGCAGTGGGGGAGACACTGTGCTGGAATCTGCTGGACCTGCATTGGATGCTTCGAAGTCTCTTCCTAGAGGGCAGCAGGGAGAACAGTCCATGTTGGGGGTGTGAGGGGTCATTTATGATGTTACGTGCTCTGGACACGGAGCGCTGGGATGAAATGTGTTTTATGGAGGGAAGAGGAGCCCTGATGATCTTCTCTACTGTACTCAGCATTCTTCTCACCTTCTTCCAGTCTGAGGCGCTGCAGCCTCCACACCACACAGTGAGACAGCTGGTCAGAACTCTCTCTATAATGCTTCTTTAGTAGGTGGTGAGGATGGGTGAGGGCAGGTGGGCTCTCCTCATCCTCTGCAAGAAGTACATGCAGTTCTGCGCCCTTTTGATCAGTAAGGTGGCGTTTACATTCCAGTTGATGGTGTCTGTGATGTGCACCCCCAGGAATTTGGTGCTGCTGACCATCTCTACAGCTGAGCTGTTGATGAACAGTGGGGCGTGGTTAGGCCAGTTCTTCCTGAAGTACAAGATGATCTCCTTCGTCTTCTCCACGTTCAGGATCAGGCTGTTATCTTTAGACCAGCCCACTAGCTGCTCCACCTCCTCTCTGTAGTTCCGGTCATTGTTGTCACTGATGAGGCCCACCACCGTGGTGCCATCTGCAAACTTTACAATGTGATTGGTGGTGAACCCGGGGACGCAGTCATGTGTCATCAGGGTAAACAGCAGACGCTCTTTTATGGCCTCTTTATCACTTGAAAACTGAGTTCCGTGCTTTTAGCCATTTCCAAACCTCTCCATTCATCCAGGGTCGTTGGTTGGCCCAGGTGGTGATGTTCTTTTTAATGCTGACGTCCTCAATGCATTTGTTGATGTAGGCTGACAAAGTCATGGCATACTCATCAATATTTAATAAGTTGTCATTTGTTGCTGCAGCCTTGAAGGTTTTCCAGTCAGGGCATTCAAAACAGTCTTGGTGTGTCTCCATGGCGCCCTCAGACCACACTTTAACTCTAACTGTTGGTTAAAATATCAAGCAATGATGAAAATACCCTCTGTGTATGCAGATTGGAGCTCAGAGATAGCCTGGTGTTTTGGTTCTGTTCAAGTTTTCTCTTTGAGTTTTCAATGGTTAAGTTTACATTTTGTGTTATTGTAGACATTTTTGGTTGTAATTGATATCTTATGTATTTCTTGTTTACCCTCTGTTGCCCTCTTGTGACAGCCTCCCACTCCTAGTTCCCTTCTAGACTGTCCACACCTGTTCCTCATCTGCCAAATAGTCATCCCATTGTTTCTGTCTCCCATATATACTCCTTCTGTTCAGTCACTCTTTGGTTGTTCCTCGTTGCAATTTCTTGATCCTTGGGTGTTTTCCCTGACATCTTCTAGTTTTTGTTTTTTCTTTATTTTGTTATTTGGGATTTTTGCCTCAGTTGCCAACTTTTGGATGAATAAATCTGCAAGAAACCACTCCAGTTTCAGTTTTTGCATTTGGGTCCTCTTCAACCGTCCACCCAACCTGACAACCGTCAATGCAAAATAATGTATTAAAACAGAAAAGCAGATCAATCAGTTGCTCCAATGTAACCCATGAAACATTCTCGTTTTCAGTCAGCCAATTTATCTGGAAATCGGTATCTGGATTCAGTGTCTAGAGCAGGCATCCCCAAAGTCGGTCCTCGAGGGCCGCTGTCCTCCAGGTTTTAGAGGTTTCTCTGCTTTAGCACAGCTGATTCTGATGATGCAGTTCAGCAAAGGCCTGTTAATCAACTATCAATGTAAATCAGCTGTACTGGAGCAGGGAAACCTCTAAAACCTGCAGGACAGCGGCCCTCGAGGACCGACTTTGGGGATGCCTGGTCTAGAGTCATAAAGTAGGATTAGCCTCTATTGACTTGCATTGGCTCTGATGGCAGCTTGGTCTGACCTAAGATGGCCTCTATGTCAGCACGTCTCTCAACCAATGATGCGGGATCTATTTATGTCTATGGTGCGGGGAGCCAGAGTCACATGACCAATGCGGAGCAAAAAGCAATGATCCTTTCTCTGAATGTTAAGTTAACTGAGCTTCCTATAAAGGCTACTATATAGTCCCCACTCCATATATTGATTTAGGGATTAGAGCAGACGTTCAGACAAAGCTCTTGTGAAATATCAACAGACTATTCATTAGTTATTTATTTTAAACCATTACTGGAATGAATAGTCATATCACACGATACAAGTAGCTTAAATAAATGACTGTGAATCCTTTTAGCACTGCTGATCCCTAAATCCTGGGCACAGAAAGGTCTTTGTGTCCCAGAACCCCTTTGTCTTTTTAAGCTACCGAATCTGTTATTCTTGACCCTGAATGAAACACAAGCAGGGGGGATAAACTGTCTTTTACTGGTCTCCAGGTCTGAACATAAGATCATATCTGGCATAAGCTGTGTGTGTTTTTTTGGAATCCCTTTAAAGCAATAGAAGTCACACAAATAGCAGATCATGAAGTCCTCAGCCTTTTGGTCTCTAGGTCAACTTAGTTGATCAGCTTTAAAAGTGGGAGAAAAATGGACTCCATTCCAGCATTGAGGTTAGTTCAAATGGAAGTCCAAGTGCAAGCTTTATTTAAGTCTCTATCAGATTCTTAAGGATTCCTGAATTCCAGCAAAATAATATATATCCAGATTTAATCATATGCCTACAAGCATATTAACAAATGCACCACAGGACAGATTTGGAATAAATCAGCCTGGACATAAATGTTACAGGTAACAGTCTTTTTCATTGAAGTCAATATTTCAAATTCATTTCTTACTTAAAAAGAAAATTAACCACTTTAAAATGGGTTTTAAACCTCACGGCAAACATCCTGTTTCTCCTGAGCACATCATCAATCAGCTCATCTCAAAACCAGATCAATGCATGTCATGGCTTGAAAGAGCCAAGCCATTTGCCACATGTCATTACCGTCTATTTACAGAACCACAGGCCAGCCCTGAGCTGTCCTGACAGTTTCATACCACCTGCTGCCGTCGTTTGAGCGAGTGCATGCATAGCAAACAGTTATAACATTTCATGCATCAGTATTAACTATAATAAGACCACTGGGGCACCGAATAGATGTGCTGATCGAAAAGACTAAAGGAAGTTGCAATTGTTGTGCAACCTAAGCACTGACTTGTCAGAGTCTTTGTGCAATCATGGGATTTCAGGATAGGATGAAGGCCACACCATCTGTTGTAAAGACGTCTCTCTCGCTCAGGGCCGTTCCTTATCTGATTTCAAACGCGGAATTTATCTGGTGCATCTGTGTGATGGATGGTGTACTAAATATACTATTTACTCTGCAAAATGAATCTGAGGTACAGGATACCCCCCAGCTCATTAGGAAGACTCAGACGTACAGTGCAAAGGTTTTGAAACTTTACCACATTTGACCTTCCTTTAAAATCTTGATAACATTTTCCTTAAGTTTTACTAAATATTTCAAAGTTAGTTTTTATTCATTTATTGAGTTTATTTGATAGGGACAGTACACAATAAAATATACTGGAAAAAAAGTAGCTCCATGCTGGCATCATAGTGCTAATAACATGAGCGAATGTGCGGCACTTCTTCCTAGGAGAGCTTTTATAAACAGTATCTAAAACCTTACAGTTTTAAGTAATGATAAAAGAGCTTACAGGATATCTAACAAAGTATTCATATACAGACATATACAGCAGAGAGACTAATACAAGTCAAATATATTAAAGCTACAGTGTGTAATTTTCAGCGACATCTAACTATCAGACCACAGACTGAACCAACATGAACCGCTCCCCCCATCGCTTCTCCCCCTCCAACAAAACAGAGGCCGTCATGGTACAAAACGGCTTCTACAACTTCCACATCACCTTGCTTGTCGAGTGATGACGAGGCTTGTTTATATAGATCATTTTATAAATAGTATTTTATTAGGTTACAGATTGTATATAGGCCTAACTTGCTGCAGTCACATCAGAGGGTAATGAGGATCTCTACAGTCACTAGTTAGTCAGCATTGATCTGCCGTAGCACAAAAATATCTGCCTCCATAAAAGAGATACCCACTGCTATGTATCTATAAATAGCCATTTGTAAGGCAAATAAAACCTAAAGATTGAGATTATAAATTCTTAGATGATAATAAATAACATACTTATGTATAATATATTACATTCAGTAAATCGCAGTAATTATTACACAATAAAGCATTAAAGAGTATTGCGACACTGTTTTGATGGAGCAAGGATTTTAATTGTTTTTCAAAAAAGTTAAATGTGGTCACATAATTCAAATAAACAGTTTTTGAATATTTTTGACTATTACAGTGTATTTTTTACAGTGCACGCTTAAAATGCAAGAGCAAATGAGTAGTGGGGGTCAAAAGAGGACTTTATATCTCTTGTAACAGAAGAACAGTATCCTTATAACATTATACATTATTTTTAAGAATAAAAAAAAATCAAGACTTTCTGTTTGGTGGCTGGTGGACTTCATTCAAAAAGGCAAAAGGAAGCACTGAAAGTATGGGGATGATGTGAGTAAGAGTAAGATGATTTCAAGCAGATTTAAGCCTCTGTAGGGCTACTGGGGAGCCAATAACATATGACAAGGATTTTTGAAAAGTGTGTTGCACTGAATGTATGCAGTGCTAATTACTTTGAAATGCACCAATGACAAAAGCATCCAACTTCCTAATTATTGTCCAAACTGACTTTCAATCAGTGCCTTCCTACACCTCAACCAACTCTAAGCATTCCCTATTTTTACACCCCAGCATTGACTGAATCAACAACATGTGGGAAGTGAAACATTTGCTCCACAAACATGCCCCCTGTCCCACAGGCAGAAACTATACACCAGGTCAACGACTAGCAGAACACAGGAGTCTTTCACTTGAACCGGCACACTGACGTCTGCTATGACGACCATAAAAACAACAATACTCACTCAGAGTAGTGATCCACCTTCAGGAAAGCCTGGATGACAAGCGGCAGTTCTGATTTAACTATGTACAGGTAGCTGGACATGGCTGTGGAAAGGAAGTAAGAAGATGTAAACAAAATGAATTCCAAAGTTAAAAAGAGAGGAACTCATCTGGCATATGGTCACAATCACATATCATTGCTACAGTATGTCATGCTAACATTTATCAGGTTTTTGCATGTGGCAGAATGACATCGACTTCTGGTGACATTGAAGTCCTGCAGATTTTTGTAACCTAACAGAGGCTGTAATATTCAGTATTTTTATTTTGTTTTGTTTTTTTCACTGGTGACGATTTTTTTCGAGCTATCTATCACATCTTTAAACCTTATGAAAAAATGTTTTTTAAAGCATTAAACTAGAACAAGTGATTTTTATCAACTATAAACAGTCCTGTCAACTACAGAGCCATTTTTAACATACTGGATTTTTTTCCCTCTTTCCACTTATCATTTAGGTAGGTTAAATATTCCATTAGTCATTTTTATCTGCACCTGCATCTTTCTTCTAATTTTATCATACCAGTGTTTTGACATATATAAACGCTTCCCTTAAGTCATTAATCATCAATTTCAGCAAAGACCCCAGTTTGTCCCCAAAATGCTTCAGTTTGGGACATAACCCAGACAAATGTTTACTTTATACATGTACTTGTCTTTTGTTTACCAACCACAAACAATACAGCTCGTTCTTGTACTGATTGCTCGTAATAATTCCTCACATCCTATAATTACCACTAAGAAGAAAAACTAATATAATACAGGGGGTTTAACTGGATGTCATCATCTGTTTTCTGGGTTTAAGGTCGATCCAGTTTAATGATCTGTATTTCTTGCTAGTAGGGCTTAACTGTAATCAGTCATATTGCCGAATGACATCAGAAATCTAATAGACGTTCTCACCTCCAATGTTCTGCAGAGTGATTGCAATACCGGCAGCCATTTTTCCAGGTGTACCAAAAGCCCTGTAGCCCAGCTGTTCATAAGAGCGAATACCTGGAAGCAGATTACAGGCAAATATATTGAGACACATTTGTTCAGATGCCCTTCAAAGAAGAACAATAAAAAGGCTTTAGAAGAACAATAAAACATAATCAAATTGATTAGGTTCGGTGGTTCAGAATTTGTCAGGAAATTTTAAAAGATTTGTTTCAAGGTACATGAGTTCTTTATTAGTTTTTCTCTGTATGACCCATTCCAACCTTCAAAAAAAGGTAGCAAGAAACCAAATCTATTAAATGCAAATTCATGTGTCATCTATGTATGAACTTTCAATTATAGTTGCAAGCACTTTCAAATTATGATTCAGTTAAAAAAGATTTTAAATGCAAAATATGTATTTTTATAAATATCTTACAGTACTTACCAACAATACCAGAGGATTTGAGCAGCAGATGAATGGAATAGGATGATAAGGCTGCTACTGTAGTCAGAAGAAACCTGTAACAACATTCACCATCATAGAGGATAAAGTTGGTTGTAGACCTATTTTACTCCCAACTCTTTTCTTGTCCTCATAGTCTTTGTCTTGTAACTAAGAAGTATGAAGATCCAATAAAAAAAAAATTATTTCAAGATTGAGACCTTCAAATGATGCCAATACAGGATATGTCAAGCTCATGACAGCAATCAATACTTCTACACCTTTGTTTCTCTCTCTTTTTCTCAGAGTTTCCTACTTGAGAGAAAGAGAAACCCAAACAGATTTTACCCTGAACTCCAGGTCAACATTCCTGATTAGTCAGTGTTGGTTTATATCCCCGACCTTTCTCAGACCTTTTAAAGACACTTACGAGCACCCTGGGATTACCCTGGCACTAGCCGATATGAAAAACATTAAAGCTAGGGCTAGAGCAATGGATATGGTTCACCAATAAAAGACTGTGGGTTATTCAGAGTTCATCAACTATTTGGAAATGGTTGCTACCCACTGGCAACATTTCTTGATTTTGGAACTATGACACAAGACAAAAGCTTAAAAATACATAATTATTACTCCTGAAAATAAGATAGACATGAACATAGTTAAAAAAGCAATGAGTGTAATTTTGGTGAAATGGTCAAAGATTCAGTAATAGCAATTACCTCTAATTTTGTCTGTATAACTATAAAAATATGCAAATTTGGTAAATAGATATAAAAATATACAACAATAGAGGAGATAACTAGGTAAACACTAGTTGTGATATGACTCAGATATGAAACATGGATAAATACATATTAAAATAATGATTGGGATATAAACATCTGTTTATGGGTCTTTTTTTCCCTTTATAATATTAACATTGGGATTTTTTTTTCACAAAAAATATTCACTGTAGAACTTAAAAAACTGTTTGAATTACTTTTTTATTATGTTCAAAACCAAATAAACATACATGAAATCACAGACATTTAAGACTAAATCCATAATAGTCATAAAAAGAGGCAAAAAGATGAATCAAACATCACTTAATTGAATCTTATTCACCAAGTTGTTGTGTGATACTTAAAATAAATGGGTATGAAGATTAATTTAGGACATAAAACTTGCTTTTTACGTCTGACGTTTGTTCAATGTACCTTATTCAGCCTCTTGCATTTGCTGCTGCTGCACAAACACAGACTGCATGAGTAAAACTTTGAGAGTCATTCTATGATGGCAACAGTCTGCACAGAGCAGCGGAAAGTAAACGATCAGTCCAAGTGTCTCACTGTGGTCTGGAGGTTTGGTTATTCTAAGCTGTGTCCTTTCTAGGAACTGTCTCTGGTAGGTGGGGTTGGATCAGAGTCGCAGAAAAAGAGGTATGAATAGAAGTGGGCATATCACTGAGCGCTGATGCAAGATGCACAGAGGCAGGTTGTAAATTATCATTTTGCGCAACAGCACTATCAATACAGGCTACTTATTTAGCTTTAAGTAAGAAATGTATCAAAAAGAACACTAAGGCTAAATAAAAAAGATTCAGCTAACACACCAAATTTAATGCCAAACCTTTCCTGAGGAAATGTTTAACTATTTTTTAAGCAAAGCATAGGGCAGCTATTGACTCCATACTGAAGCCAACTTTGTTATGGTGGCTAATTTATTTGGATTAAATCTTATGAAAAAACCTAAGTAGAGTACTCAAAAGTAATCTTTGCTGTTTCCTGTCAAAACTGCAGGGGGAAAATTATGTGATGAATGTTTGAAGCATTTTTATTCAAAATTCCTGTAGCAGTTGTGTTGCAGGGTTAATATTTGCACGACATTGAAATTATCTGAAAGTTTTAGTTGAAATATAAAAGTATGTACTCACAAGAAGAGAAGAATCCCCGTGTTAGCCATGGCATATGCCAATCCTAAGATGCCGCTGCCCATAATGGCATTGCCAAGGTTAAAGACCGACATGCCGAAGGAGGTCTTTCCTTCAAACTGGGAATGGATTTGACAAAACAGAACAAAATTTAAGACATAAGCCTTAAATTACAATGTATTATGATTAGATTTGATAAAAACGTTCCTTATTTCTGTTTTTTATAGCTACAAAGTTCTCTCAGATCAGTTCTTAGCAAACAAATATTTTTTATTTTTTTTTTATGGAGTGGAACCTTTATGGGTGCTTTCATTAATTAAAATGCACTGTTATTCTCTCCTTTTAAACCCAATTTATTCTCAAAGGCAGAAGGAGATATTTCTAAATTAAAATGTTCAAGTTATGACAACAAACGTAAACAAACATTGTTTCTGTTTATAGATAAACTTACATCTGTAAAACATGTGGGCTTCTTTCCATGTGTGCTGGGAAGAAACTCTTCACTCTCAAGCGCTCCTTCTGGGTCATCAAATCTATAAGCAAGAATTAGGCTCATTTTTAGTATTAGTCCACCTCTAACTTGTGAACACACACAAAAAGACTTGACCAGGGTCTAAGCAAACATACCTTAGATTTTCAGTGCCATTTCTGCACAAGGAACCATCAGGTGAGGTCAGCACAAAAACAAGGCAAACATGCAAAGTTAAAGAAATAGAAATTATGTAAAATAGGTCATGCTTTATATTTCTACCACATATTTTATCCTACTCATTACTTGGCATATTTATAAAAAAAATTTTTGTTGTTATTTACAAATAGAAGGTTAGGATTGGTTCCCTTGATTTACTCTGGCCTGGTACCAAGGATGTGGTTTTCACATACGGTAGGTATAACCACAGAGGAACAAAAAGGTGCAAAGAAAGGGAAAGGTGCTTAAATCATGCTGGGTTAAAAAATATCAGTCTTTTGTCTGTGTGTGAGAAAAACGTAAGAAAACTCACTGATCCTCAGCTAACAACGTCTTCATTGGCACATTCATGTCATCTCCGAGGTCATGGGTTTTCCCGTTGGATAATATGTTCATCTCTGACTTAGCAGGCTCCATCTTTCCAGAAATATCCAGTTCTCTATCGCCTGTGTTTGTTCAATGGAGGAGGGCTTCAGATCTTGAATTTCTAAAAATATAAAGGTAGAAAAGTTTTAGGTGAGAGCATTTACTTGTGTATGATCAGGAACAACTATAAGATGTTCACAGCAGGATAGACTTTTGTAAAAAATAAATATAAAGGGTATATATATATATATATATATATATATATATATATATATATATATATATATATATATATATATATATATATGAATATATATTTCTTCTGACTCGCTCATCACCAGATAAATCAGCCTAGAAATCTTTAACAACTTATATTTGATCAGGAGACTTTGCTATCAATTCTCATATCTTTGTTGGCAATTGTGTATTGAAGTGTCACCTGAGTTCAGCAAGTCAGTCCATTTTTCTGCAGCTTAATATTTTTTTTTTATATATATTTCTGTTCTATTGCTTGTTCTGCATCTTCTTCTACTAGCTGAAAGGCTGAAATATGATTAAAATTTGAATAGTAATTACAGCAAACCTTTGTCAGTTTCCAAACACAGTTGTTGGTGTAAAATATTTCAATTGAACATAAAACCGAAAGAGAGTTTGCAACCAGAAGACACAAGGGACATTAAAAAAGGAATAATTCATTATTTCAGGTCCTGTTTCCATTGCAGAAATAGAATTGACCAATAATAGCAGCAGAAAGCATGTTTTGGATACTTGGATAGGAGGTATCTCTACCACACATGTATCTGATTCATTAAGGGTTCATTGTGATACTTGAGCTATTTTTTGTGAACTGGGACATCAAAGCCAGAATGAGTCAATTCATCTAATTGGTATCTGTCTGCGCAGCAAACAAACAGTGATCACTAACTTTTTACATACAGGTGCTGGTCATAAAATTAGAATATCATGAAAAAGTAGATTGATTTCAGTAATTCCATTTAAAAAGTGAAACTTGTATATTATATTCATACATTACATACAAACTCATATATTTCAGATGTTTATTTTGTTTAATTTTGATGATTACAAATGACAACAAATGAAAATCTCAAATTCATCATATCAGAAAATTAGAATATTGTGAAAAGGTTCAAGATTGATGGCCCCTGGTGCCACACTCTAATCAGCTAATTAACTCAAACCACCTGCAAAAGCCTTTAAATGGTCTTTCAGTCTAGTTCTATAGGCTACACAATCATGGGGAAGACTGCTGACTTGACAGTTGTCCAAAAGACGACCATCGACACCTTGCACAAGGAGGGCAAGACACAAAAGGTCATCGCTAAAGAGGCTGGCTGTTCACAGAGCTCAGTGTCCAAGCACATTAATAGAGAGGCGAAGGGAAGGAAAAGATGTGGTCGAAAAAAGTGTACAAGCAAGAGAGATAACCGCACCCTGGAGAGGATTGTGAAACAAAACCCATTCAAAAATGTGGGGGAGATTCACAAAGAGTGGACTGCAGCTGGAGTGAGTGCTTCAAGAACCACCACACACAGACGTATGAAAGACATGGGTTTCTGCTGTCGCATTCCTTGTGTCAAGCCACTCTTGAACCACAGACAGCGTCAGAAGCGTCTTGCCTGGGCTAAAGAGAAACAGGACTGGACTGCTGGTGAGTGGTCCAAAGTCATGTTCTCTGATGAAAGTAAATTTTGCATTTCCTTTGGAAATCAAGGTCCCAGAGTCTGGAGGAAAAGAAGAGAGGCACTTCATCCACGTTGCTTGAAGTCCAGTGTAAAGTTTCCACAGTCAGTGATGGTTTGGGGTGCCATGTCATCTGCTGGTGTTGGTCCATTGTGTTTTCTGAGGTCCAGGGTCAACGCAGCCACATACCAGGAAGTTTTAGAGCACTTCATGCTTCCTGCAGCTGACCAACTTTTTGGAGATGCAGATTTCATTTTCCAACAGGACTTGGCACCTGCACACAGTGCCAAAGCTACCAGTACCTGGTTGAAGGACCATGGTATCCCTGTTCTTAATTGGCCAGCAAACTCTCCTGACCTTAACCCCATAGAAAATCTATGGGGTATTGTGAAGAAGAAGATGCAATACACCAGACCCAACAATTCAGAAGAGCTAAAAGCCACTATTAGAGCAACCTGGGCTATCATAACACCTGAGCAGTGCCACAGACTGATCGACTCCATGCCACGCCGCATTGCTGCAGTAATACAGGCCAAAGGAGGCCCAACTAAATACTGAGTGCTGTACATGCTCATACTTTTCATGTTCATACTTTTCAGTTGGCCAACATTTCTATAAATCCTTTGTTTTTATTGGTCTTCAGTAATATTCTAATTTTCTGATATGATGAATTTGAGATTTTCATTTGTTGTCATTTGTAATCATCAAAATTAAACAAAATAAACATCTGAAATATATGAGTTTGTATGTAATGTATGAATATAATATACAAGTTTCACTTTTTAAATGGAATTACTGAAATCAATCTACTTTTTCATGATATTCTAATTTTATGACCAGCACCTGTAGTGACCCAACAGAGTAAAGGACCTGCCTCCTGTCTTTTGTAATTTACATCTTTGTTAGAACATTTTGCAATACGTACGTAAGTAAAGCTTAAAGCTAGAAAGAGCCACCAGCCATGATAATATCCTAGAGAGCTTTTCAGAATTTCGTGCTTCAGTTTGGAGTAAAGCAAACAAGTCAAGGTTATCAGCACACAGTCAAAGGTTAAAGTCTGATTGAGATTTTAGAAATGCGTTTATAGTTTCATTTAGATTTTCTGAGCTACTTCTGAAAATTAATTCAAATGACAGAATAAAGTTGGAGAGGCCTTTGAAAAAATATATTGTCCTAAAGGATTTTATCTGAATATGTCCCAAAATGTCTTGAGAATCAACAAGATGCTATTTTGCTCATTATGCTCAGCAGTAGCTCTAGTCGTATATGAACATTTGCTTAGAGTAATGGATAATTTGCTGTATATTTATATCGATAAATTGGTAATCTCTAGTTTGTATAGGTATGGCAGTAGCCTATATTGTTAACTCAGCTTTTCAAAAATAAGCATAATCTCATGATTTAATTAGGGACCTACTTTTGTAAACAGGACAAAGTTATTTTAGGTAGTTCAATTCTCTTAAAAGATTAAATATTAGGAAAAATGCATTTTTTTATTGATTAAGGTTTTCACCTAATATCGACATTTGTTCAATGATCTGAACCATTGAAGGGTCAAAAACAAAACAAAAGCTACAAATACCTTTTTTATTGGTATCTGTTGTATATTGTAAAATACACTGAGGGGATTAATCAAAGTAACAACTTAGACATGCTTTAAATTACGAATAAAATATTCATTCTTAAAATTAATAAGCAACACATTTTATTCTCTTTATTGTATTTATTTTCTTTTTTTTTCTTGCCAGAAGTCAAATCGGGGAAGAATTTCATAAAAGACCAGACAAAGGAAAAGATGTAATAAGCTGTAATAGTCAAAGACCAGGTTAAAATCCCTGAAAAAAAAAAAATACTTAAACTTAGTGCCGAGAAGGGAGACATCCATAATTTAGTTTTAATTTCACTTCTAATATCTTGAAATATCCTCTAATGGCTTCTGTGGCTCAAATTCATATTCACAGGTGTCGAATAGAATAGAATAGAATAGAATAGAATAGAATAGAATAGAAAATCCCTTTATTGTCCCACAATGGGGAAATTATATAAAAAAAAAAGGTCACACAAATGTGGACCTTTGAAAAATGTATAAGAATAACATAATAGTGAAGAGTTAATTGATAAGCAATAAAAAACTGTACTGTAAAGTGTTTTAAGAATATAAACACTGTGTACCTGGAGAAATAAATAACCAATATACAGCTAAGACTGCTCTTTTAACGACACTAGTGGCTCATGTTTTTGACAGTAGGCTGACAGGAAAGGGGGTATGAGAGAGAGGGAGAAACATGCAGTAAAGGACCACAGGCCAGATTCGAACCTGGGTCAGCTGCGCACTAACCACTGTGCCACCTGCACGCCCAGCTATGGACTTTTTTAGAGTAATGGATATTTGAAAATGTGCAAAATTACAGCAGCATGTTATGTAATGGAGTAACAGACTAAGGTAGAAACTATGTAAAATCAGCATGAATGTAACAACTTTTTGAGCTTGTTGGGGACATTGGTGGTTATAGAGTCTTCCAGCTGCTGGGAGGAAGGATCTGTGATAATGCTCCCTGGTGCAGTTAGGGTGCAGCAGTCTCTCACTGAAGGAGCTCTCCAGTTCTGCAACAGCTTCATGCATGTAAACTTAGATTGAAAATTGTGTTTTGTTAGCAGCTTCATCTGTGTTTAACATAGAAGGTTGTCCTCTCGCTTTAAGATTATTCTGGGTGCTATTATTTTGGCCTATACGATTGTAGAAAGTTAAAGATAGCATTCAACTGTAGAAATACCAATAATCTAGGTGAAAAATAAATAATGTAGCACAGCATGATATTGGGTAAACCTTTAAACATCAAAAATTTCTATACTCAAATAAACTCTAATATACTCAAATAAACTAAGAAAAAATACAATTTGGGGAAAAAAAGATCTGGCTTGTCTTCTGAAGGTGTCGTTTCGTTTTTTTCAAGCTGACCTTCAGTTTATCAAAGGTTCGAAGCTCACGTCACTGCATCCTGTTTTAGAACTGTACACTGATAGTGATAATTTCCAAAGAGGTAAATGGAAAAATATTTGATGTGCCAGTTCAAATCTAAGTCACATAGGATTTAAACACTGAGAGAATTACCTCAAGAACCTGAAGAATAATTAAAAGCGAAGCTTTCAGATCAGGGTGGTCAAAGGAACTTGATTTGATGGATGAAGGACACTTTAAGTGCTTTATTTGGTTTGACTTTGTGCTTTTTAAAGCACATCAATCACAGATAATCTGATGCAGTTACAACAGCTGCACTTTTTAAGAAGCTTCCCAGTGTAAAGTACTACAAAACAGACTAATTAAGCATTACCTAAAAAGAAAGTAGAAAGGGAGAGAATATTGACTCTTTAGAGTCCATGACAGATTTTCCAGGCTAGCCGGCCGGAAACCATTTCTAG